TACTGACCAAATACAATTTGAGGAGGAAAGGGTTCAGTTAATCTTACACTGTACAGTCCATCACAGAGGAAAGTCAAGGCAGGAATCTGGAGACAGGAACTCAAGTAGAGGCTACAAAGGAACACTGCTTACTGGCTTCCTTCCACTGATTTGCTCGGTTACTTTTCTTGTATAACCCAGGCCCACCTGCCCAGGGACAGCACCACCCACAGTGGGCGGGGCTCTCCAACATCAAGTAACAGCTAAGAAAATGCCTCAGAGATATGCCACAGGCCAGTCTAGTAGAGGAAATTCCTCAACTGAGGTTCCTTCTTCCCACGTGACTCTAGTTTGTGTCAAGTTGACAAAAACTAACCAGCACATTTGCCCGCTTGTCAGCTCTCCACACAAGCACATCACTATTAAACCATAACCTTTCCTTTCTTGCTCATCCCCAAGATCACATGTTAATATCACAATACAAAACATAGTACAACTTTGAAAGTCCCACAGTCTTTAAAAACTCAAACACTAGAAGTTCAGCCCCCTCAAAATAACCAAAGTCACTTAACTATGGGTTCCTGTAAAATTAAAACTAAGTTATATACTTCCTTATTCCCAAATGGAAGAACCAGGGTACAATTACGAACAGATCAAAGGAAAACCGAAATCCAACAGTATGAAAAGTTCAGTGTCCAACATCTGGGACTCACTCGTTATCTTCTGGCTCTAAAAGACTTAGGAAATTCCACTTCTCTAGCTCTGTCATTTGTAGTGTACACACACACACACACACACACACACACACACACACACACAGCTTGTCTTATAGGATCAGATTGGCACCACCCCATACCTGCCACTGTCCTTGGTGGCCCCATATCCTGGCATCTCCAGTATTCCAATATGCTGGATTCTCCACTGCAGCTGAAGCTGTAGCTTTAACCAGTGACCTCTCCTGACCTCCCATGATGCCAACCCTCAGCTTCTCTCCATGGTCCCTTCAGTCCTGGAGTTTCCACTGCAACTGAGGCTGCACCCTCACCAATGGCCTCTCGCAGCCTAACACTGTGCCAAGGCTCAGCTTCTCTTCATGGCCCCTTCAATTCTACAGCTTTTGTGCTGCCAAAACCAGTACCATGTGGGAGACTCTTATACATTACCAAGTTTGGCTTCCAGCATGGGATGCAGCCTTGGCCCTCCTGGACTACAGCTTGTGTGTGCTGACCCTGAGGAAATAGTTCCTAGAAGATTTCACCTCAAAGATGCTGGTCTCTTATTAATCACAGCTGATTTTTCAGCACCAGCTGGCCAGCATCCATTGTCCCAGTAACGCAAAGATTTCACTTTATTGGTACGGGTGTCTTGTTAATCACAGCTGTGAAGTTTAGGAGGGAAGCAAAGACTCTGTTATAGCTGTTCATGTGATATTTTGAGTTAAGAATCTGATTCCCTCCTAAACGTCACAGGTAGTCTCCAGGGTCTTCATTTCTCTCAACATTTTGATCTTCTAAGCTTCCTGTTAAGAACAGCCTATTAAGCTACAAACACCCAATGGCTTTTCCAGCCCAAAGCTCCCGAACTTCCACAGTCCTCCCCAAACAACAAGTTCAGGTCTGTAAGAGCAGTATCCCACTCTCTGGTACTAATTTCTGTTCTAGTTTATTTTCTGTTGCTATGATAAAAATACTGACCAAAATCAACTTGAGGAGGAAAGGGTTTATTTGGCTGATGGGTTGGAGTCTGTCATCGAGGGAAGACAAGACAGGAACTGAAGCAGAGACCATGGGGGGAAGACTGTCTATTGGCTTGCTTCCCCTGGCTTGCTCAGCTACTTTTCTTATACTGCCCAGGCCCACCTGCCCAGGGATGGCACTACCCACAATAGCCTGGGCTCCCCTACATTGATTAACAATTAAAAAAAATGACTCACAGACATGCCCACAGGCCAGTCTGGTAGAGAAAATTCCTTCACTGAGGTCCTTCTTCCCAGGTGATCTAGTTTATGTCACGTTGACAAAAATGAACACAGATACTGCCTTCCATCCTACTACAATTGCCTATGCCCATGTTTGTAGCCAGTATTCCTGTCATGACTAATAACTGACATGCTCCTCCTGACCACATCATCTCCTAGCCTACCCCCTCTTGCCTCTAGCAGCTCATTCATCCTGCTGTCTTCTCTCCGTACCCCTTCCCTCTCCCACTCCTGTCTGTTCCACCTGCCAATCAACTTCGGACCACTCTTCACCATTACAGCCACACTTCCAGGGTCCCTTGGCTTTCTCGTTCCTCTTTCCGCTTGCCTTGCTCACCTGGAAAAACACAGCAACCCAGACGTAATCCAATTAGATGGAAATCATCTCAGTACTGAGGACAAATAAATATGTAAAGCTGAGCAGAGTTTCATTCCCCACTCAAGCTGGCCTTTGGTGATACACAAGAATCCTTTCTCAGGTCCCCACTCCATCCCCTCTTTATTTTTTTACGATGATTCCTCTGTAGCTTCATCACCCTCTTCAGAATTCTAGTATGCCCCTCCCTTCAGATTTCTAGCTGATACCCAGGGAATCTTTCCCCGAGAAAAGATGCAAACAGAAGGCAACTCTCCTCTGTCTCCATACCACATCTATACCCTTATAATGTACCTTGCCAGGTCTCTGAGAGAAAAGCAGTGCCCAGTATCTCTCCCTCCTTTCCTACCAGAAGGTGCATTACCTTTGTTCAACTGAACCGTGCCCCGTTTAAAGTATCTTCAGTGTGCCATGCATCCCTTCCTGCCCCCAAAGGACCTAAGTCCTTCTGTCAGTCATTCCTTCTCACTTCTGCATCATCGGGCTGTCTATCAGATGACTGCCATTTCCAAAGTGCTGTGGTACCTCTCAGACAAGCTCTCTCATGCCACACCCACTTTGAGTAACCACTCTGTTCACATTTGCCACAAAATTCCTCAAAAGAATTGCCATTGGATAACCATTAGCCACATATGGCCACAGCACTAGAAACGTGATTGGAATGAACAGAGATGTGCTGTAAGTCTAAAATATACAACATAGTTCAAAGATTGAGTACAAGACAAAGAATGAAGACACCTGTTTTTAAATTCATTACACCCTGAAATGAAATACTTTAACAATGTTGGGGTAGATTAAAATGTATTATCATAGTTGATCTCACCTGCCTTTTAGAAAGGTTAATTACTCACTTGGCTCACACTTGACTTGTGTCATATTTCTTTTGGACAGGGCTTTCTATTCCGTCTCCAGCTTCTACATTCTCTTCTGAGCCTATATCCTGTGCCTGTGCCCCATCACTCCCCAGATCAGAAGTGTTCTAGGCCTCAGTGGCCTTCATCGTACCAAATGAAATGGTCGGTTTCCCATGCATATCTGTGGGGTCTGAACACTTAGCCGTTGCCTTCTCGCTTTCCACATTCTCCATGGAGCACCACTTGTTCCAAGTCTCCTGCCACAAGCCACTTCTTGTCAGTCTCTTTCATTGATCTGTCCTCTATTTGCCTCCTCAGTGTTGGAGGACCCTATGATTCAGTCCTTTTACACACAGTTCCCATACAGGCCTTCTGTGGTCCAACCCTAAATACACTGTATATAGAAAACATAGTCGTTGTTGTTGTTGTTCTCCATCTTGCACCCTCCTTCAACCTCTAGATATGTGATACCAACTCAGAAAACCATCAGACAAACAATGATCAGCTCAGATCAGAGAAGGTGACAGCAGAACTTGGATCCCACACAACCACATCACGCCCTTCCTGCTGCTCCAGCCCAGGCTGTTGGAGTCATCTCTCACCTCCCAACCAGTGCAACAACCAATCCCACTGGCTCTGTCTTAAAATAAATTCAGTATCTGACACTCACAATCTTCAAAATTACTCCTTGGCCTGAACCCAAGCTGTGCCACTGGAGCAGCCTGCTCTGGCCTTGCCCATTCTTGGCACCACTGGAGCGAGTCATTAGTTCACTTACGTTGTGTCCCTTTCCTAGCCAAGGTTCCCATGGGGCCTCTCCTTCCCATCCAACTTCATCTCCCATTTGTCTTCTCTGTTCCCATCGCACGGGCAGTTTGACGGCCTCTAACTGTCACGGTGCACCTCCCAGGTTCACTGCCTCAGCTCATTCCTCTTTGGTGAATGGTCACCACAGATAGCTGCAGGGGCCACACACTCAACTCTTTCTCTATGCAGATATTATCGAGCAGAGTTCCCTTCTGAGCCTCCCTCTATTCAAAGAATGATCTCTTGCCCTTGTCACGGCCAGCCTTTCCTCTTTCTGTGTATCACAGCCTGTGCAAGGTCTAGTTACTGACTACTTAGACTCTGTCTGTTTCCCTCTGGGGATGTGAACTCTTCAAGGTCAAGGTAAGCCCCTTCTTCTCCAGTGTCTGCTACAGTGCCTGTACACAGTAGGTGCTTGTGTTTGTTGGAGATGTGCACATGCCAGCACAGACACATTGTCAGAGCAGAAATCTGTACATCTTGCCTGTGCTGGTGTGTTCTACTTGATGCTTCTCTCACTGACCTGTCAGTCATTGACTGTGGTGTGAAAGTCTCATAGGTTTCTTAGGCCATTTATTTGTGCCTTGGAACAAATCAAAGTGAAGGGGCCATCAGGAGGATGGGGAAGGTAGGGCATACATGATTCCTGGCACTCACGGGAGAGAAGCTGGATTTTGTGGCAGTGACGACAGCACCCCAAAAGAGACAACAAATCTCTCCCCTGCTTTCTCCCTGTGCCTTTGCACTTGTGCTAAGACCTCCCCACTCATGAAAAACCAAGTTTGCTCACACCCTTTTGACTGAAGAGGGCCCCTCACCTCACTCTGCCCTTTCTAGGCCCTAGTAAGTTCCTCCTCCCAGGTGTGGTGATACCTCTTGTAGCCCTTTGTGGGCCTTCAGCGGCCTCACCTATAGCACACTCTATCAATCCAGGCCTTCTGTGATTAGAGCCCAGCTGGGCCACTAGCTGGAGACCTGATGGCTCCTCTCTCCCCTCTCTTTCTAGGCTTTTTAGTGCAATTTTAGAACAAGCAACCAAAGCTGATGGGGCCAATGCTCTAGGAGGGAAAGGAGCTGGATTCGATGTGAAGGCACTGAGGGCTTTCCGAGTTCTGCGTCCCCTGCGGCTGGTGTCTGGAGTCCCAAGTAAGTAAAACCCTTATTCCTGTTGACAGTGTTACCTTTCCAAGTCTTCCTCTTCCCTTTGATAACCTTCCAGGAGCACTGTGCAAAGGAACCTGGTTTCCCATGGATGGAGAGTTTTCTTAGAGATGAATCTCAGTTCTGCTGCAGAAGCATCAAACACATAAGGCCTAGCTTTTGTAGAGCCCCAGAAAAAGTTCCCAGTATCACATAGCCAAAGGAAGACAGCCTGAGAGACAGGATCCCTAAGTCTGTGTGCACCCCGTGTGCCAAGATACAAATGAACACATCTACAGCCTGGGGCACAGTGAGCTAACCCCTAACGTGCCTTAACCCATGAGATTATCTCTAATTTCTGTATTTGTTCCAAGGAGTATCAGGAGAGCATCACTGGGTGTTCTGAAAGCTCTGTCTGGCCTTTTCCACTCTCCACTTTTCGTATCCAATGGGGTATCCCAGGCTGCAGAGCCCTTTTCAGAGACCTGACATTGAGAGAACAGGTTTCTCCCAAGGAATAAAGCTCAGCTCTTTGAACTGGGATGGTGCTGTGAAGACTTGCTGCCTACCGGGATATCAGCTACACAGACAACGCCCCATCTCCCCCTGTGGAGACACCCCAAGCTCTGAGTACAGCAGCTTCAGGTACCTCTTAGCTGCAGCAAACCCCAAATGACCTGTGCCTGGGGAAGCAGCCACCAGAGGACTCCTGTTCCCTCATCCTGTTCAGTCTGGGATATCTGGGAAGAACTCTGTCTGGGCTTGTTTCCTGAGATTTTACATCTCATGCGAATTCATCAGCCTGTGACTTTTGTGCATAGGGGGCCAGGGGCAGTGAAACAGATTATCTTCTGAGTCTAGAACCCTTTATGTCTAAGCCATGTGCTGAGCACCTGGTGGCATTCTTACTGATTATCTTGAAATTATAAGAACTCCGGGAACTCTGTCTACTGCTTCATCCCTTGCTGTATGAGTGCAGAATAGGGAAAGGATCTTAATGAGCTGGCAATGGAGTCAGGGTTAAACCTAGTTTCTTACTGTCAGTCTCAGTGCCCTTTCCTACCATACCACTGCCTTCTTTAAAGAATTGAGGCTATGCACTCTTGACTGTCTTAGACTTTTTGCATAATCTCCTGGCTCTTCAATTATAGTAAAGGCCCCCAGAAGGCCAGAGCTGTGCCATATATTCTTCCCAATCTCTGTTCAATGGTTAGATTTCTAGCTAGCTAGGGTGAGGGAATTTACCGAGTAAGAAAAGGCAGGAGGTGGTTATTTCCTTTGCACTGGGACTCTCTGGGCAGAGCTTGTAGAACATCTCAAACTGAGGAGCCCATAACGCTAGCCCCACAGTTAAAGCAGTCATTCTGTACTTAACCTTGACAGTTTGGATACTTATGGTATATATATGATGGCCAACACCAAATTCTACTTTTGTGATGCCTAAATGATTTGAGTGTTCTTGATTAATCCTTTATAACTTCATAGAATGACATCATGGAATAAGAAGGGCAGTGGGAGTGACTTCAAACCTGACTTTAAGGAGCTTAGTACAGCCAATGTGTCAGGAATAGGCACTGGGTTAATCCTAGACTTCTACCACTAAGTTACTATGGACCTACTAACTCTCACCTTGTAACATATGTGCTTGTTAGGGCCTTACCACAGTGTGAGGGAGGTTAAGATTTATTGCTTATACTTTAAGTATAAGAACATATCACTCAGCTTTTGCTGCAAGAACAGATTATCCCAAGTACCACATAGCCTGCAAACATTCACATGTACACATGGTTCATAACACATGAGCGGATTGGTCAGCTGCAGACTTCTGGCCTCAGAAGCTCCCTGGGATGGACCAGGCTCTACATGACATCTAATTCTGGAACTCCAGCTATAGGAGCAACCACAGTGTAGGCTGTGCTGTCCACATGGCAGAAAGAGGAGACTCAGAGAAGATGGCCTGAAGTTACACCACACCAGTGGTCCCAAGGCTACACTTGCATGTAGCTCTCCCCATAGCTGCTCACATTCCAATAGCCAGAGAGACTCGTGTAGCTCACTGTAAGGACCAATAGAACAAAGGGTAGTTGGCCTGCCATATGTAAGAAAAGGCAGGACACTTCAAGCAACTGTTGATTGGGTGAGTCACAAATAAAAAAGAAAATGGCTCTTCTCGGAGCTTAAGAAAGGTCTTGGCCTAGCCTTTTGCCCTTTGTCACTGATATAGCATCCACACAGCTTTTGATACAGTGAAGAATGAGGTCAGAGTAGCCAAGTGCATTGGATTGACACCTCCTTCTTTTTTTTTTAATAACCTTAGATGTCTTTTTTTTTTGTATTTCACCAAAACTCCTCATAAGTCACTTCCTTATCATCACCACTGTGTGGTCTCCATTGTTTCCTGGGTATAGACTAGGCTTTCTCCTCTACTGCTGTGTCCAAACTTCTCTTGTCAAGACCACCAGTGGCTTAATAAGAATCCACTGGCCCCTTCTCCAGGCCATTGATTTACCTGTGACATAGGGTAGTTCTGCATAGCTGACCTGTGTTTGACACTCTTGTCTCTTGGGTTCTGAGGTATCATTCTTTCTTAGTTTGGTTCTGCTTTACATAGTTTTCCCTCTTGGAATTTTTGGATAGCTGTCTCCTCATTTTTCACCCCTGTAGCACTGGAGCGCTCCAGGTTCAGTCTTTGTACCTCCCGTTTCCTAGGTGTTCTGTATCATCCAGGGTCATAGTCACCTTCTTATCTTCCAACAAGCAGAATCCTCTAGGCTCCAGCGTTACACACCACAGCGTTCCTCTTATCAGATATGCATGAATGAGCATACCCCTAATACTACTCTCCAGCTTTCCAGATTCTTTCTCTCCTTGGAGATGTCAACACACTTTTCCAGCTTCTCATGCCAAACACCTTTCACTTATTTCTTTTTCTCATTCTCTACATCAAATCCACCAAAAGAGCCTATCAGCGTTACCTTCAAAACATGTGAAGAATCTGTTTCTTCTTTTTTTTTTTTTTTTTTTTTTTTTTTTTTTTCATGTAGCCCAGGCTAGCCTCAAACTTACTCGTATCTTGAGGGATGGGATTATAAATTTGTGCCACACCCACCTCTAGCATTTTTTATGTGTCCCTGGGAATGGAACCCAGGGCCTTGTATTAAAGGCGTGCGCCACCACGCCCGGCCAAGAATCTGTTTCTTACCACCTTCACATTCACTTCCTTGGCAGGCACCATCGACCCTCATCTAAACAGAGTTCTCAGCCTCTGCCTGTCCCCAATCACAGCCTAAGCTGAACACAGCAGTCTTGAAATCCAAGCTAGATCATGTCCCTTTCCTACTCAGAACCCTCTAAGTTTTCCCTAAACTACCCGGAGTGAAAGCCATAGTCTTGTGTCACATGCCTCCTCCCAGGCCTCTCCCCCTCCACCTTCCCCCTCCTAGTTTCAGTGACCACCTTGCTATTCCTCTAGCACTTCAAACTATCCGCCAAGGGAGGGCCTTTCCACGCGCCACTACTTTCTACGGTGGCCTTGACTCAGCCACCCACTGGCATGCCAGCCCACCTTGTCTAGTCTCTGCTGAGATATCACGTCCCTTCTGGCATGTCATAGCCACCCTGTGCCAGCCGTTTCCCCTACCCCCTGTGTCCTACACCTCATTACTGTCTTAAATGTCTCACATCCCTTGTCACCTATACCATACTATCACTTATGTTTTTAGCCATTTGCTTATGACCCATTATTGCCAGGGCCACCATTTGCAATAGCTGCATCTTCAGCATCTACAGTGGCACAGAAGTATTGTAGAATGCATGAACATTATTGCAGACCTTGTGCTGAGTGGCATGCATTGCTACACACGGCAGCCAAGACTGCCTAGCTCCACGGATGCTGCTGATGCTGAGAGACCTCCACGTGTATATACTGTAGTTACCAGTGCCCAGCCTGGAGTCTTCTGTTATATTGGCTCTCCATGATAATTGTGTGAGCTATAGAAGTGGACAGATATAATATGTAGGTGTGTAGGGTGCTGTTTCCTATAACAAAGGTTAATCGTGTGGTTTATGAAACCTGCACCTCTAAATCACATATGTTACAGGCCTGAAAAAGTTGCTGGTATCTTTTAAATATGCGTACAGGCACTAAATGCCCCTGGAATCTTGATCACAGATTGTGCAGGGACAGAGATGGCTGTGAGAGTCCAGGCCTATGTGTCATCAACCAGCTTGCTCAACAAGATCTGATGGTACTTACTTTATCACAGACAGCCGTGAATCAGATGCCACGCGTGTTCTTAAAGACCTTGAAGTATTGTATGAAAAAATACTCATAAAAATGGTATGTAGAATGAAAACTAGCAATGCCAGAAATGTTTGGGTAAGAGACAGTGAGTACTGTGACAAGTAAGCTCTGGGGGGTACCATACTTCTGAGAATGGGTACAGAGGATCTTGAAAGCCATCCTGGAGAAGGTGGCATTTGGAATAGATCTTGAAGGACAAGCAATGAGTGGCATTCCAGGGGACTGAGAAAAGAAAGGGCAGAAAGTTCTGGAGATGTACCCAGACATGTTTAGGACCTGATCATAGTAAAAAAAAAAAAAAACTGACTTGCAATGGCAATGAAATTCTGTGATTGAAAGACGTGGTTGCTTTGCTTTGTAGAGACTTTTTCCATAAACGAATTCTAGGAAATAAGCCCTTCAGCTTGTGAGGGCTGGAGGCATATATGCATATGGAAGGATTAGCCATTTATAACCAGAAGCCTTACACCACAGGTGTGAGCACTGGATATGGACAGTTGTGATTCCATATTGGCAAGGTGCTCGTTCATAGAACAATACTCTTTTCCATGTAATGCCCTCCTGGAAAAGACTTTCCAAGGGCGGACCGCATTGAGGAAGCTGGCACATGAAGGTGAGAAAGCACCTTTTAGGTTTACAAGGCCTTTGACAAAAACTTGGAGCAGCCCAGGCTTCATCTGATGGTAAAAGGAACTGAAGGATG